TAGTATTTATTTTTCTTTTTTTTAAAAAAAAAAAATTTAAATTTAGAAAAAATTTTTTTAATAAAAAAGGGGGAAATCGATGATAAGTCTACTTTATAAAAAAAAAATGTGAAAATATTATGAGTAATTAGAGTAATTAGGCATTCAAATTGTAAACATTTGTTTGAAAATCACCTGAAAAAACACGGTTGTATAACATTTTATAAAAAATCGGAAATAATTTAAAAAGAATAGAATAACATTAAGAAAGGAACCAATTAAAAAAACTATATTAATTAATTTTTTTAAGTTAAAGTTTTAGCAACTTAAATCGGCATGTGAAATTTTACAAATCAATAAACAATTATTTTCTTTTTTTGAAAAAGAAATAGAACATATATATAAAGAAAAGGAAATTTCAATTGATTTATTGTTATTCATAGGATGAAAAATAAATTTTACAATTTTTTTGATTTGTTTAAAAAAAAAAAAAGCATTTTTTTCAACCATCAGATTTCTTCCGCAAGATAGATTAGAATTTAAGCATTGACCATAATCATCTACTTACTAATCCAAATGTTTATTTTAAAATGCTGTTGTATACATACACATAACATCATCATCATATAGCAAGGTCACATGTATTTTATTTTTGGTAATTATATTGAAAATCAATTATCAAATGATATTTGAATAATAAACAAACCTTTTTTTTGAATTTCATGTGTCTGACTGGATTATTTGGAGAACAATGAGATGTGACGATCTTCAAATATTTAAACTTATTATATACTATTATTTGAAAAATAATAATCTTTTCATTTCCATTTATACCTATATTAATTAATAATGTGAATGTCACCATTCACATTCACCTGATCATTAATATTATTTCTTTTAAAAGATAAATTAAAGGCTATTATTATGTCATTATAAATCACAATGTGACAAGAAATGACTAACAATAAGCGAAGCCCTATATAATATATATATTTCAGGGATACAATCTCTTTAGCCACCCACGAATTCCACAAAGATCGGCGACTTTTGATTTATCATCATCGTTTAATAATAACATTATTATTATTTTACATTGAGGAATTAA